GACAGCCGGGTAGGCTTGAGCGGCCAAGCCATCCTCGGCTTGTACTGGAACCGGGCCTTGATCTCCACTCCAGGAATCCTGTGCTCTTTGAGAAACTCGAGCTTCTCTCGTAACTTACTCGTCTCCGTATCGATGGTGACGCGCCACTTCCGCGTCTGGATATCAAACTGCTCGCGCGATTTCTTGTCGATATGAGGCCCCTGGATGACGGTGAAGAGCGACCTCTCCGTGGGCAGCCCACACACCTTGGCGTTGGGGATGTCTCCCAGCCGAAACTCACGCATCGCGGTCTTGATGTTGATGGTGAGCTTGGCAGCGCAGCTGTCGTCGGCCTTGGATTTGGACCTCCTTCTCCTCCTTCTTGCCTTTGGAGTAATCCCGGTTTCTCCTTCGCTTGCGATCTCCGTGCTGCTGCTTGCGGCGATTTCTCCGGACGATGACGATGCGCTGCTGCTACAGAAGCTCGAGGGAGTGAAATGCGGCATCACCCACCTTATCCTGGCCGAGCAGCCGCTCCTCATCGCCATAGAACCCTAAACTCCTTGCTTTTAGGGTGGAACCATACTCAAAAAGATTTGAAGGAACATTATAATTTCCAGGAGGGAAAATGTGCTAAAGGAATCCACGGCCCAGGGATCTTTACTCATAAACAGTTAGCTATGGGGCTGTCTAGAAACATTTTGCCCCATTTTCCACATGATTGAAAATCTGATATTTACCCCTAGGGAATTTCTTAGCTGTTAGGGTTGTGAACTCCCAATGTTGCAAGAACCCTAATCCAGACTTAGCTCAAATTTTATACTTCTTTTTGTGTTGACTTTTTGATTACTTTCTAGCTCAAGTATATATAAATTTCTTTCTGCCATTGTTGGAGAAAAAGTGTGTGTATATGCTCAAGACGAGTTAAAATTATTTACTTATTGTAAAGCCTAATTTACTTATTGTAAAGCCTACACTAATTTGCTGCTTTTTAGGGTTCTTGGGATTTTATTAGGTTGGATGGAAAGCGACCTCCGGCTACCTCACATTTTCTCTCGATGTCCCTGTCCTTCCAGCAGGGATCTGCCGGGTTCCTTCTTGGTTTTCCAGTGTGGGGCAATACTTCTTTTGTCCTCAAAAGACTGGCTTTGTGGACGATGCTGCAGTCCTGATGCCTTATCCAAGTAAGTCTCTGACATCTCTATCCAACTAGGACGCATTTCTTTTTCTCTTGGTGGAGTTGTTTGTCTCTAGAGCAATATTGACAAAGCCAGTTTTGTGGCTGATCTTTCCTTGGCAGCTGTTTGTCTCTTTGCTGGGACGAAGAATCTAAATCTTCTTTCTCCTCTCGTAAAACAGGTGAGCTGGCCATACGTCGCTGTTCTTATTCCATCACAGTACTTCACAAACAATACAAACTCTGGTATGATTTTGCTTAGAGCTTAGAGCTCTGCTCTTTCACTTGGACGACTTGACATGCTCCACAATGTTCTGTGCAGTGCAGTAGGCGATGGACTGGATAGTGACCATGGGGTTGAGACCCGTGGGTGTGGGAAAGACGCTGGCGTCCGTGAGGAAGAGGCCTTCAGCATCCCAAGTCTCGCCTTTGGCATCAATCACCGAGTTCTCGGGGCTGGATCCCATCCGGCACGATCCCAGCAAGTGATACGATACCATTGGCAGCCGGTTGGGCTTGAGCCCTTTGCTTCTCACGCTCGCAAGGTACTCCTCGAACCGCTTCTTCTCTTCTTTCCAGCTTGTCGACTTGCCAAACGTGAAGCTTTCAGCGTCGTGGTGGTGCGTCCCGACTTCCACTGCCCCCGCTGCCTTGAGCACGCGAAGTCCTTTCTCCGCTCCCTCCAGGCAAACCTCCTCGTCGTATGGATCTAGAGTATACTCGATCGTGATCTCGTCCGTCTTCTTGTCCACTCCGATACTCCCAGCTCCTTTGTCACGAGTGAAGAGCACCACCTGAGAGACTCGTCTGAACCTCCGCATTGCCTCCTTGTGCTGAGCTCCAGATTTCCAAGTTACCACCGAAGCGTACTGTCCGGGGTGGAAGCTCGGTGTCATGAGCACCGGACCATAGCCGACTGTGTCCCAGCGTGCGCTCACCGCGCTAAAGGCCGTCATGATCCCTCCTTCGAAGCTAGCTCCCGGGTTCTTCTCCTCCTCCGGGAAGTATCCCCACACTCCCAGCACCGGATGGATGTGGAAGTGTTTCCCAATGTTTGGATTCGTGAGTCCACTTCTGATGAGCAGCGGTGGTGTCATGATAGAGCCGGTGGACACGATGGTCGCTTTGGCCTCGATGATCAACTTCTTTGGCTGGTCACCCAAGGTGGTGGCCAACACACCGATGGCTTTCTTCTCCTTCTTGGTCCCGTCCGTGAATAGCACTTGCAAGCCTTTGGTTCCCGTGAGGATGGTCGCTCCTGCTGCCGCTGCTTCCACCAGCCAAGTCTCGGTGGTCGCTTGCTTCATACCCCGTCGGCATCCCATGTTACAGCAGCCGCAGTAGTGTTCTGGGCTCGCGTTTCTCGGTATGTTTGCGCTGTGGAGGCCAAGCTCAACGCATCCCTTGCGCAGGACTGCATTCTGGAAGCTTTCCACTGTTGCATTAGGCTGAACACCGATCTTCTTGCAGATGAGATCCAGAGCTTGCTGGTACTTTTCGCTGGTAAACATGGGAAGTCCACACTCCTCAGCCCATTCCTGGCGGACGTGAGGCGGAGTCTGGAAGGATGCCGCCCAGTTGATGCAAGTTCCGCCTCCCACCACCGCAGCGGACATGAGCGAGTAAGCAAAGTCGTCAGTTGCCAGAAATCCGCCTTCTTCGTAGAGCTCGCTGAAAGTCGGTTGCTCGAGCAGGGACAGATCTTCTCTCGCAAAGTAGCGGCCTTTCTCCAGCAGCAAAACTTTGAGGCCGGCAGTGGACAGGACCTGAGCTGGAACGCTTCCTCCGCTGCCAGCTCCAACAATGATCACGTCGCATTTGATGCCAATCACGTCCTCTCCGTCCTCAAGCTTGTTGGAAGGCAGCAGCGCCGGCTTGAGGTGAGATATGTCATCCAGTAGAGTGTAACCCGTGTGCTTGAGGACTGCTCGCAGGTCGGGGTGCTCTCTGACGTCGAAGACGGCGGACTTGAGAGCTGACGGCTTTGGAGGCAACGTTGCTTTCATGGAGTTTGGATCCGGTCCCGCGTAGCCGATGGCTTCCCAGGTCGGGTTGTAGCCCGAAGCATCCACCTGCAAGCCAAGAGGTACAATGTCTTGATATAGAGAGCGTCTTTCTAAACCACGGCACCTTGCTATAGAAGGTGTTGAGGATGAACGTCTTGAAGATCTTGAAGTTGAGACGGGAATCGTCGTCGTCGCTGTTGGCCCACTGGTACATAAGTTTCTCTCGCTCCTCGAGCGGCACCTCACTGAACTTCTTGTCGTAGGGGTACTGCGGAGTGGACTTGGGCGTGGAGAGCATGCCCAGCACCTCCTCGGCTCTCCTCAAAAGCTTGGGATGGATAAACTGTGTCATCCTCCCCGCCACCTACAAACAAACGCAAGCAAAGCCATCTTTTTTGCTTTTCTAGCTCGGCCTGCTCACCATCTCTGCGTCTGCCTCCCCAGAGAGCTCGTAAAACTCTCTGTGGCTGCCATCGGGGGACGAAACCTGCGGAACGAATGTAGAGCACAGGGCCTCGAGTGCTTCCAGTTGCGCCGCGGAGAACTTGTGGGGATAAGGAGGGCGGCCTCCTTGGAGCAAGGGATGAGCAAGCGTGGAAGTTGGCAGACCATCGAGGCTCGCAGCTGGGGGCGCCATGCTTCCTCACTCGACTTGATACAAACACAACTATAGCTACATTGCGATCGAGCTTCAAACAATTTAAAGTCCGAGATATTATTGGCGTGGTCCCTCGAAGATGGCAGTGCCGTGTTGCAGGAAAACAGCTCCCCACACCAGCCATGGATTTGTTTTGTTCGTCTCTAACAAGACTTGATTCAGTTTGGTGATAAGGTTGATGAGATGGAGACTAGAAATCTGCTGGGTTGGATGGTTTGTTTCTCTGTAAAGCTTGGAAACCATCGGATATCGTTCTGGCTTGCCAGAAAACACTGCTTTTAGACACAGAAATAAGAAGAAAACAATTTGTCCCCGTCGCCCCTCTTTTCCGATCATCTTCCTGGCGGATCTTCTGGATTTACGATCATGGCATACACCAAAGATTAAGATTTTCTACGCTGCAAGTAGAAAAAAGGAGCTGCGAATCGATCTATCCATGTTAGACAACAATTGTGAGAGATGTGAGGCAATGTACATGATCATCAACACTAAAGAGGTGAGTGAGTGAGTGACGAGCTAAAGAGTTAGGAGGCCTGAGCCGAGAGGATGGACTTAAACTCGAGAGTCTCACGCTGCTCTTCGTCAGCCGGAACGCCATTGTCTTCCGTCTCCACCTCCTGCTCTGGATCATCGCTTACGTCCTCCTCCTCGTGAGCTTCTTCAGTCGTGCCTTCCAGGTCCACGTCCTTCAATCCCCGCATCTTCTCCCGGTACTGCTTTATCTCTTTCCGATACCGCTCCTTGTCCACGAGTCCACGCTCTTTGTAAGGCTGCCAGAGGGTGTCACTGATGTGAAAACCAAGAAAAAAAACGAGAGAGAAGAGAACTTTGTGCTGTTACCAGTCGCTGCTCGTCAGTTAGTTTGCTCCACGAATCTCCAATCATCCTGCTGATCTCCCGGTTGGGCTGCAACAGCCTTATCCGTGCTCTCTGCTCCGCAAAGAAGAAGTTGTAGGCACTCCGGTTGAGCTTTGGAGCGTTGGGATCCTTTTTTCTCAATCCCAGCCTCCTCCTCCTCTTGCGCCGGAGCTCTCCATCAGCATTCACGCACTCGGACAGCTGAGCTCCGTTGGAAGTCGGGAGCTTGGACGTGGTCGTGAACTGTGGCACGTACTCGCCGGGTGGGACGTTGTACAGGACGCCTTTGAGCGCCTCGCTGCCGACGGTGACACTGACGAGGTAGCCATGCTCGAACTTGCCAACGATTGATCCTGTCACGGTCTGACCGATACAGTTCGTGGTGGCATTCCCTGCGAGGAACAAAAAAAGATAACTTTGTTTAGAGCAACCAAAGTATTGTGAGTAAAGTTTTTGTTTTGCCTTTCTTCTACCTGGATCAGCAGCAGCATCTGCATCGCCTGGAGAGACAAGACCTGACTCCAAGTCAGTCAAAGGAAGGAAAAGAAAAGAAGAAAACGAGGCAAAAGGAATGAATGAATTCCGGATAGAGAAAGCTAACCGGGCGCAGATACGACAGCTCCCTGATTCCGGAAGAAGTAGACCTGCTCGTAGTGGTGGAGAAGGCTCGAGTAATACTTCCGAAGAACATACGACGCATTGGTGGTCGTCGGTGGGAAATGGAACACCGCTTTTATTTCCTTCCAGATCCTATCCTTGATCACCTGCGAGCAACGAGCGAAGTGAGTGCCTGTGCCAAAGAAACAAGAATTTCGCTCCACCAACCTGGTGTAATCCTCCGCGGGCCGTGACTTCCCTGTACAAGAGGTGCAAATCCAGCTGAGTTCCTCCAATTGTTGGTATGCTGAAGAAAAAGTTCCCATCCATCCATCAAACGGTCAAAGGAGTTCGATCGATCGATCGAGAAACCAAAGAGAAACCAAAAAGAGAGCGGGAGAGACAACCATAGTGTCTACTTACGTACGTCAATGACTTGAATCCCATGCTCCCGTGGAGCCTCCGGAGCGTGTCGAGGAAGAGCTCCTTGTCTCGCAAGACCTCCTCGTGAGAAGCTAGAGCTCGCGGGTAACCGGCCGAGAAGACTGGAGTGGCAGTGCTAGTCGTGCTAGTGGTGGTGGTGATCGAGGTGCATTTGTAGTTGTGGGGAGGAGACGCCATTTGTACCGTGATCAAAGGCGCGTCTTTGGTCTCGAACTTTGGAACAAGCCGCGAGTGTGAGAGGGGTGGCGGCTCTTGCGGGCGGAGGGACAGGAAGTCTCGGGGGAGATTGAGCATCTCCGAGGAGCGGGGCGGCGCGGTGGCGCTGGCGGCGGCCGCGGCTAGGAGCGCGTGGTGGACCTCCGAGCTTGTGGGAGCTTGTGCATGACCACCGTTGTTGTCTGTTGCTGTGCTCTGGCGAT